CGAAAAAGGCGCCGACAACCAAAAGGACGCCAAAAGAGGCGCCGAAAACGACAGGGGTGCCGAAAATCAAAAGGACGCCGAACACCAAAAGGGCGCCGAAAACCAATGAGTGGTCGCCGAAAACCAAGGATGCACCGAAAACCAACGGGCGAAAACCAAAAATGCGCCGAAAGCCAAAGAGCGCCGAAAACCAGCAGGGCGCCGAAAAACAAAAGGGGCGCCGAAAACCAAAGAGGCGCCGAAAACCAAAGGAGCGCCGAAAACCAAAGGGGCGCCGAAAACCAAAGGATCGCCGAACACCAAAACAAAAGGGCGCCGAAAACCAAAGGGCGCTGGAAACCAATAGGGCGCCGAGAACGAAAAGGATACTGACAACCGAAAGAGCACCGAAAACCAAGAGAACTCCGAAAACCAAAAGGAACGCCGAAAACTACAGGGACGCCGTCAACCACAGGGGCACCGAACGCCATAGGGGTGCCGAGCGCCAAAAGGGCGCCGAAAACCAAAGGGGCGCCGAGAACCTAAAAGGCGCCGAAAACCAAAACGGCAACCACAGCCAAAGGGGCACCGAAAACAAAAGGGCGTGCGCCGAAAACCATGGGGGGCCGAAAACCAAAGAGCGCTGACAACCGAAAGGGCGCCGAAAAACAAAGAGGGCGCCGGAAACCTAAGGAGCGCCGAAAGCCAAAAGAGGCGCCGAAAACCAACGACGGGGCGCCGAAAACCATGCCGAAAGCCAAAAGAGCGCCGAAAACCAGCAGGGCGCCGAAAAACAAAGGGGGCGCCAAAGCCACAGGGGCGCCGAAAACCAAAGGAGCGCCGAAAACCAAAGGGGCGCCGAAAACCAAAGAGGCGCCGAAAACCAAAAATGCGCCGAAAACCCAAATGCCGCAAACAATCTAAAAGGGGCAACCTGAAGGGCGCCGTCAACCAGGGCACCGAAAAACAAAGGGGCGCTGGAAACCAAGAGGGCGTCGAAAACCAAAGGGGCTCCGAAAACCAAAGGGTGCGCAGAAAACCAAAGGCGTACCGTAGATCAAAGAAACGCTGAAAAACAAAACGGCACCGAAACCCAAAGCCGCGCCGAAACCCAATGCGACGCCGAACACCGCAGGGGCGGCGAAACCCAGAGCGGCGCCGAAAGCCACAAGGCAAAGGTTGCTTCGAAGCCCCCCCCCACCCTTCAGCCAGGGCCGTCCAGCTGGAAATGCCAACAGAAGGAAAGGAAGGGGGGCGGCTCCGGAAGCCCCCCGCGCCCCTTTCCCCCCCCCCCCACGGAAAGGGGAGCTCAGGCGCACCCCCGGGCCCCGAGAAGAAGGGGGGGTGGGGCAGCTTCCAAGCCCTCCCCCACAGCTACAACATCCAGCTTCGGAAGGGGGGGGCCGCAAGCGCCCCTGTGGAGAAGCGAGCTCGGGCCTACCCCGCGCCCCGAAAGGAAGGGGAAGGTAGCTTTCAAGCCCCCCCCCCCCCCACCACCATTTCAGCCGCCCCCCCCCCCCCCCCCCAGCGACAAAAATGCCGACCCCAGGGGGGGATCGGGGGTTTTAGCTTGAGAAGTCCCCCCCCCTTTTGACAGTTTGTTTTGCCGAGATGGTTGCAGACGCGCACGTGAGAGGACGCATATCTGATCAGCCCTCCTCGAGGTCGCCCGCGTCTCCAGGCGCGCTCGACCGCGCGCGCCTGTCGCGCTGGGGCCCAGCCGGCCCCTCAGAAAGTAGCGGGGCGCGGGGCCCACGGTTGGCGCGCCGACGCGCCCGCCCCGGGCTCTGGCCAAAATGGCCTTCGGGCGGCCCGCAGTCAGGAGCACCCCGTCGCTGCGCCGCGCCTCGCCCTGGTCGTAGCCGCCCAAGCCACCTATCTCACCAGGCGCCGTAATCTGGGCCGCCTAAGCCTTCGGATGTCGGCCAGGCTCGAAGGCGAACCCACAAGTATTCAAATGCCTTTTCACGTCATGTCGCGACAGCCAATTGGGCCCGAGGTCCGCCTGATTGGCCTCACCCGGAGTCTTGCGGACCTCGATATCCTTCTTCGCGCGCTTCTCCTGCACCCAGAGGAGCGGCGCATGTAGGTGTCGAGCGCGGCCGATGCCGCACCTCTTGAAGACCCCCTCTGCCGCGCTGCTGTCGACGCGCATCGCGGGGAACAGCGCCACGCCAAGGTCCGCTCCCAAACTTGACTCCTAGGGCCACGGATGCGCCCTTCAGCTGTGAACTCCGCCTCGCCACTGGACAGAGCTGTCGAACCTCGGGTGCTCACCGTGCTCTTCAGCCGATGGGAGCCGAAGAATACAAAGACGGGGCTGACACTCTTGTGATCGATGATGTCTCCAGCCCAGTCGGAGTCGCAGTAGACGTCGATGCGCTTGCCCTCGTGGTGCTGCTTGGCGAAGCCCTGCACGCATCGGGGAGCGCCCTTCAAGAACCGAGCGACTCTCTTGAGCCGGGCTAGGCCGCCGATCGTAGGAACCACTATGTACTTGCAACACTTGCTAGCAACATCTATAGGTGGGGCGCGTCCTGGGCGGGGAAGCCGAGCCGCTTACACAAGGACCTGCGCGCCTTAGCCTCCTCAGCGCCGTCCAGCGGAGTATCGCCATAGCACTGCGCGCCCTTCTCCGTAGGCGTCGTCGCCGCCTTGGAACCAGTCCCGCCCAATCCAAGCACGCGCGCGATGACCTGTGCGCGACGGGGATCGCCCCATGGCTATCCGACTCTTGACCGAGAAACTGCCGTCCACGTAGGAAATGAGCCGGTCGTGGATTGTCGCGCGCTTGTCGTCAGATGCATCCGGGCCGAGGAGAGCCGTCCGCTGAACCTGCATGTGCTTCCGCGACTCGCGCTCCATCGCGTCCAGCTGCTGCTCCTCGCCCTCGAAGACAAAGTCGTTGCCGTGCACGACCCCAGATGAGGAGCCGTCTGAGTTGGCGAACGCACAGGGGCAAGACACTCCTGACTTGTAGCCCGCCAGCGCCAGCTTCTCATGGCGGTGCTCCCCCCAGCCGGCCGCCGCGCCCCTCGCGCCGTGCATCCTGCGGGGCAGGAGCCCTATCTTTCCGCCTTCTCCTGCAGGGCCATCGCTGGGAACGCGGGTAAACAGCTCGCGCTTGGCGAGCGGGTGAATGTGAGCCCCGGAGATGTCCAGGATCAAAACCTTCTTAATCTTGAAGCCGCCACTGGGACTCTTAGCCTTCGTCATGGTCTTGTCCAGCACCATCTTGACACCCCCCCACGGCGGTGCGCCTGCGAACGTGTCCTCCAGCCACGGGTTATTCCATTTGAACTCCTTGGCGCAGAGGCGAGATCTAACGCTCGCGTTCTCGTGGTCTCCATTGCTGACGTCACCCCACCTGGTGTCAATAACCTCGTGGCCGTCCGCCTCCGAGGGATCCACCGGCTTGTAGACTGGAAAGCTGCGAAGAAACTCGATATCCGCCCCGCGTGCTTGGGCCACCTTCTCAGGAGGCAGCTGCGCGCCAATGACATCGTCGAAGATGGTCCCATGCTCGGGGATGCGCAGCATCTCGCGGGTCTCGGCGCCCACGCTGCACTCGTCCAGACCCCCGCCGAGATGCCCATGCCGCTCGCCATCTTGTCGAATAGGACCTGCGCCTCGAAGCCGCGCAGGATGGTTTCCACAAGAGCTGGCGGGTAGTAGGCCTTGCGCTTGGCCTTCCCATCCAAGGGGTGGCGGTGCCGGCGGTGCCCGCCACGCCAGATCCGACACTGGAACTGGGCGAGCTCCTTCGCGACGCACAGGGAGTTGGTCATCCAGCCCGCGCGGCCCTGGACCGTCACGTCCTTCACACTGCCGTCGGGCTGGCCATTGGCAACGCGAAAGGCATCGGACCTGACGAGGAAGTCTCGGATGCCCTTCGTGCGCCACGACATCGCAATGCGCGGTGCCTCGTGCAAGAAGAAGCGGCCGCGGTCCATCTGCTCGCGGCGCATCTCCGCGCAGAGGTCCTGGTGCTCGAGGGCCTCCGCCATAAGGCCGTCGATGGCATCCTGCATCGCCTGCCCGAAGTCCAGAAAAGCCGCCCGCGCAGTGCAGCGTGGGGAACCGATAAGGAGTAGCGGCCGCTCGCGATCCTGGAGTCGCTTGGCCTCATCCTTCCAGGCCCCACCCGGTGCCGAGGTCGAGCGCGAACCCTGGGGCGAGGCCGCAATCGCAGGCGCGCTTCACAAACCTGCCGCCCCGGAACACCTCGGAAACCTTCGCCACGTCGGTCTCGAGCTGCGATAGCTCAATCGGGCTGCAGCCGAACTTGAACAGGTCGGCATTGATGGACTTCACGATGGAGCCGATGTCCTCCATCCTGGCGACGTCGCCGCCGCTCGCCTCCGCGGCCACCAGCGCGGGCTCAGTGGCCACGCCCTCCGGCAGCTCAAGGCTCGGGTCTTCGAACATCATGTCCGCATCCGCAGCGGGCGCTGCCGCCGCCGCTGCCGCTGCCGATCCAGCAACCTCCACCTGCATGGGTGCAGGCGCGCCTGGCGCAGCCGCCAGGCCAGGCGTCGCGGGGGCAGCCTGGCCGCCTGGCGCCCCACCCCCCCTGCGCCGCTTTGCCCCTTCCAAGCGTTGAGCTGCCTCAGTGTTGCCCATCATCGCCTGCTCGACCCGAGCTCTACAGACTTCGGAATGCGCCACTGCAGTCCTTCCTTCCGTGGCCGCCCTACAGCCCCTGCAACCCTCGGCGCATCCGAAGCCGCCCTCCGCCACTGGCCTGAGCTCGACCTCCCGGCGGATGCAAGCGCGCCTCGGACCTGCCGGCGACCTGCCTGCCGGCGGCGGCGGCAGCTCCTCAGCCGGGACCGCCGGCGCAGCTGCCAAGGAGGGGGCGATTCCATCCGCGTCGTCGCCCGTCTGGCGGGGCCCCAGCCATGGGAGCCCCCTGCATGCCTCCGCGAAGCTCTCGTCGCACCGCTGCTCCTCCGGCAGTCGCCAGATGGTGCCGTCCTTCGTGAGAACGATGATCTCGTCGGCGCGGTCGAGCGTGGAAGCGCTCGTCGAGCTTCCGCCGCTGCTTGCCGCCCGCCACGGTCAGGAGCATCACCAGCTCACCGAACTACGTGAGCCGACGGCGGTAGGGTCTACCCTTCCGCCTCCCGAAGGCCGTCCTGCCGTCGTCGCCAAGACCTGCGGAAACGATTCAGCAGCTGTGAAGAGTGGCGAATGGCCCGCACAACCAGTGGGTGAGCCGCGTGGAACTTGGCCTCGCGAAGCTCCGTCGCCCAGTGGACCAGGACCCTGGCCGGCGAGGCTCTGGATCTCCCAAATCTCGCGCTCGACGAAGCCGTTCTTCTGTGAGTCCCCCACTGGGCTCTCCTCAAGTGCGACGGAGACCCCCCAGCCCATGCGACGAGCCTCAGAGACCGCGGCCTTCTTGACCGCCAAGAGGGAGCTCTCACCATCAGACTTGAAAATGAACTTAGCATGGCCAGCGTTATGTCATGGGCCACGATCTTGCGCGAGTACTCGGGTTGGGCGCCCTTGCTTAGGACCGCGCGAGCGTCCGCCCAGCGCGTGCCAGCAGGAGGTGGGCCGTCCTCGACGACAATGAACGGGGCCGTCCTGCTCTCCATCTTCTCGACGTCGCCCTTCTCGCCGAGGAATCCGCAGTCGGCGCGCAGCGCTGGACATGGCCGTCGACCTCAGAGACTCGCTGCCGGTCGGCCTCGCCTCGACCCGCCACGCAGTGTCTGCGCCAAGTCCGGCGCGGTGAGCTGCGCGGGTTGCGCCCGGCCACCTCGTCTGGAGCTGGCGTCATAGGGCTCGCCAAAGCTCGTGCCTTCGGCCGCCCAACGTCTGAGTCGCCACGCATGGGGGCGCCAGCGTCGCCCGAATTGCGAGGGCGAGGAGGCGCCAGCGCAGCTAGAAGGGGCGGCCCCGCCGAAGAAGACGCCGCCGTCGCACTCCCACCATGGCCTGCCGGGTCAGCAGGCGGAGAATCTAGCGGGTTCTGCACCGGAGCCAAAGTCAAGGGCTCACGCTGCAGCTTCGCCACGCCCGCGCCGGGTCTCACGATCAAGCCTGCCCGCTGCCCCCCGAATATGGGATCGCGCAGGCCTCGATCTCGAACGCGTTGTTGGATCGCTCGGTCTACGCCTTGGAACCGGTCTCGGAATGGGTGGCGAACGCTCCCTTCTCCCGGTCGGCAAAGAAGTGGACGTCCAGGCCGATGTCGTTCATCTCCGCGACGCTGAGCAGCGGCTGGCGGACGTCGCAGACGTGCACCTTCATGTTCGCGTGCTGGCCGTCGCTGTCGACGAGGTGGTAGTTCCGCTCGCCGAGGTCCACGATGCCCTTGCTGCCCCTGCCCGCTGGGACGTACTCGGACCCAGCCTTCGACTCTGGCGCGTCCTTCGTGGGGCAGTCACTGCAGAGGTCCTTCGGCTTCACCGTCACACCGGCACCCGAGTCAACTCCAACCCTCACGCGCCTGCCGCCCTGGAAGCCGCAGACGACTGCACCCTGACTCTCAAATAAGCAGAGCTGCAGTGAGTGGAGCTGCTGGGTCGAAGCCAAGGATGTGGAGGTGGCCGAACGGTCGGCGCGAGACTGCACGGACCGGGGTTGTGGCGGACACAGCTGCGATGCACTCCCCGATGTATCTCCAACCTGGTTGACCTGGCGACGGTTGCTCTCCTGGGGCCGAACCGCTCGCAGCTCCCGGCACTGCGCTCTCGCGCGGCCCCAGATGCCAGTGCCCGCTTTCACCGTTGAAGTAGGAACCGTCGCCCGTGCCGGCTCCAACACCACCGCCGTTGCCCCGACCGTAGCCTCGCCCTCCTCCGGTTTTGCCGCCCTTGGAGCTGTCCTTACCTTTGCCGTCTCTGCCCTTGCCTTTACCCTTGCTGCCGCCCTCGCCCTTGCCCTGGCCCTTGCCGCCCGGGCGCCCTTGATGCCAGCATTCCCGTCGAAGGTGCCCCGTCTTGCCGCAGATGTCGCAGCGCGGCTTGGCGTCGACCGCGCCGACATCCATGGGAACAGGTCCTTGGGCAAGGTACTTCTTGGCCCGGTACATACCGGCGATCTCGTCTCGGGTCTTGTCGTAGCTGTCGAGCCGGTCCGAGTTCATGACCAGGTGCTTCGCGATGTCCTCCAGCTTGACGCTCTTGATGATGCCTGGGCGGAGCTCATTGTCCACCTGCTTGCTGGGCGCATGCTCGCACTGCTGGATGATCTCCTCGAAGCGCTCCAGCTCATGCAGCAGATCGTCCGACTCGAACCCGAAACTCAACACCTGCTGGAACAATCCTGTCGTGCGCGTCACCGATTTGGCCCCGTACTGTTCCGTGAGCTGCCGCCAGGGCAGGAGCCCCTGCCCTCGCCCGGACAAGGTGACCTTGTCCGCCGCCTTGCCCTGTAAGAGCATGGCGAGGATGTAGTACAACTGCGTGCTGGGCTCCCTGTCCCAGTCGTTATCCAGCGATGCGTTGGCTGCATTCTCGGCCGTCTCGGCCGCGTCCATCAGGAAGAGAAGGCGCTCACTGATGGCGCCTGCGAACGCTCTGGTCGTGGTCGACCATTGATGCCAATCATCCTCTCTGCCGTGTAAAGTTCTTCGGCTTGCTCATGAGCCGCGTGTCCACCACCTCCCGCCACATAGGTCGAGCTGCCGCTGTCGCCTGCTGCTGTGCATTCGCGCGCTGTTCCTCAAGCGCGCGTCGCGCAGCTCGGCGACCACCTGCTCCAGCGCTGCCACGCGCTGCTCCGTCATCCTCGACGCCTCGCTCTCGGATCTGCCTCAGCCACTGCCCGAGATGGGCCCAAATCCGGCGCTTGAACTTGAGGCGGAGGAGTCGGCCCGTCACCAGGGCCCAACAGTCGACCAGCGGCCCCCTCCTGCGGTCCTGCTCGTCAGGCAAGTCCACCAGCTCGAAGCTCTCAGCTATGGCCTCCTGCGCCGCTGCCTCGCGGGAAGGGGGTAGGTTGGCTCTCGCTACCATAAGTAAGTGTTTTGCCGAGATGGCCGCAGACAGGCACGCAGGAGGCCGCATGTCTGATCACCTTTTTTTCCAGGGGAGGGGAGGCGGGCGTAGCAGGAAGCTGGGGCGCTCCGAGGGCGCTCTCTCATAGATGTACTTATCTACTCATATCTAACTATACATTTGTACATCCCATGGACCTGGTGAGGCACGCAGCCCCGCGGAGCCCTGGAAGCGAGGCCCGCCCTGCGCCCACTTGGCGGAGCCGCTGGGGTTTGCAGAGTTGCGCACCCCCCCCTTTCCCATACCTCTCATGGGCTCCAGGCGTTGCGATGGGGTCCAGGCGTTGCGATCATCATCATCATCATCATCATCATCATCATCATCATCATCATCATCATCATCATCATCAGCATCATCATCAGCATCAGCATCAGCATCAGCATCATCATCATCAACACCATCATCATCATCATCATCATCATCATCAGCAGCATCAGCATCATAATCATCACCACCATCATCATCATCATCATCATCATCATCATCATCATCATCATCATCATCATCATCATCTTCAGCAGCATCAGCATCATCACCATCATCACCATCATCGACAACAGCAGCATTATCAGCATCACCATCAGCCTCATCATTGTCATCAGCATCATCATCATCATCAGCATCATCACCACCATCCTCCTCCTCGTCATCATTAACAGCATCAGCAGCATCATCATCATCATAACCAGCATCAGCATCATCAGCAGCATAATCATCACCACCATCTTCATCATCATCAGCAGCAACAGTATCAGCATCATCAGCATCAGCATCAGCATCAGCCTCATCATCATCATCATCATCATCGTCATCATCATCATCATCATCAGCATCAGCATCAGCATCAGCACAATCAGCATGATGATCATTGGCATCATCCCCTCCCTTCCAAGACCTCCCCCGAGACCACCATCCTCCTCCGCATCATCATCATCAACAACAGCATCATCATCATCAGCATCATCACCACCATACTCCTCCTCATCATCAGCAGCATCATCATCCTAACCAGCATCATCATAAGCATCATTTCAGCATCAACAGCATCATCAGCAGCAACAGTATCAGCATCATCAGCATCAGCATCAGCATCAGCATCAGCATCAGCCTCATCATCATCATCATCATCATCATCATCATCATCATCATCATCATCATCATAATCAGCATCAACGGCGTCAGCGTCAGATTCAGCATCAGCATCATCAATCTCCTCATCATCATCCGCATCATCATCATCAACATCATCATCACCATCATCATCATCATCATCATAATCATCATCCGCATCATCATCCGCATCATCATGAACATCATCATCAGCATCGTCATCATCATCAGCAGCAGCATTATCATCAGCATCATCATCATCAGCATCATCATCATCATCTGCATCATCATCATCATCATCATCATCGTCATCATCATCATCAGCATCATCATCATCATCATCATTATCATCATCATCATTATCATCATCATCATCATCAGCATCAGCATCAGCATCAGCATCATCATCATCCGCATCATCTGCTTCAGCAGCAAAATCATCACCAATATCATCCGCGTCATCCACATCATCCACATCATCAGCATCATCAGCATCATCAGCATCAGCATCAGTATCAGCATCAACATGATCATCATCATCATCAACAACAGCATCATCATCAGCATCATCATCCTTATCATCATCCCCTCCCTTCCCAGACCTCCCCTGAGACCCAGGGGTTGCGATCATCGTGGCGCCCGCTCTAGCGCTGCGCGCGGGATCGCGCGCGGTGCTGGACGGCAACTGGGCGCTCCTCTCTGTCCCCGCACGCGGCGTGCGGCCCTGCCGCGGTGCAATTGTCGGCTCCGGTGGCCCCCGCCTGGCCTTGGGAACGTCAGAGATTGACTCGGGATGAAGGGCGAGTCCTAGGGGAATGGTCTGGACATCCAGGGGTGCAAGCTGTGAGAAGATGCCCCAGCAGAGCACCCTGATAGCACCAGAGATGCAGCCGGGACAAGGGTGAGAGCACGGCCGTGTGTACCTTGGTGAATGCGTTACCAAGGATCCTGGCCGTCCGGACCGAAAACTGTAACCGGCATTGAGGCGAGAGCACGAGCCCTGAATAAATCATGAAGAAGCCGCAGGCGAAGCGGCTGGTCGACCAGGCTCCCCGTCCCCCCGTGGCACTGTTCTGCGGTCTGTTTTAGCACCATCAGAACCCTGTGGCGAAGCGCCATTCGGAAAATACACTATGTTGGAGGTCTGAGTTGGCATCCCCATCACAGTCGCTCAAGGGGAGCCCGTAAAGGACGTGCGCGCCCAGCCACGTACACGAGCATGCCCCCCCAAACCTCCCCCTCATCTCCTCCTCCTCCTCCTCCTCCTCCTCCTCCTCCTCTCCTCCTCCTCCTCCTCTCCTCCCTACTACCTCCTACTACTACTACTACTACTACTACTACTACTACTACTACTACTACTACTACTACTACTACTACTACTACTACTACTACTACTACTACTACTTACTACTTACTACTACTACTACTACTACTTACTACTACTACTACTACTACTACTACTACTACTACTACTACTACTACTACTACTACTTACTACTACTACTACTACTACTACTACTACTACTCCTACTCCTACTCCTACTCCTACTCCTACTCCTACTCCTACTCCTACTCCTACTCCGACTCCTCATCCATACCTTTTCCTTATAGATAACTCCTCCCTCTCGCACCCCGAGGCCTGTCGAAAGGGCGGAGCAGGCTTTCCGCCTGCGACTTCCTTAACGCTTGTGAACCGGAAGGCTACATATTGGCATCAGATTCACAGATGGAGGGCGGGTGGTTTTCAACAGTTGGTTCTCGCCTTAGCGCCGCGCACATTCGTTTCAAAACCTTACAAGCGCTTCACGAACTGAGGACAGGTCGTTGTCGAAATGTGGCCTCAGCGACGCGCACATTCCTTTCAGACATTTGCAAGAGTTTTACAGATTGAGGGCGGGTCGTTGTCAAAACGTGGCTCTCACCTCCGCTCGAGGGGGGCCGGAAAAGGACGTGCGGGCCCAGCCACGCACACGCGCACGACCCCCGAGTCGCAAGGCCGCCCTCCCGGGAGCACGAGCGCTCGTGCCGTGCGCTCTCTCCAGCGCAGGCGTCCTGGCAGTGCGCAGTGCGTCACGGGCGCGCCGCCCACGTGAGCTCATCGGTGCAAGCGTCGCTGCTTCGCGCCTGACCCTCAGCATCCTCCTCCATCACTTCCCCCTCCCCACCTCCACCCTCCCCACTCCCACTCCCCCCATCCACCCTCCCCACTCCACTCCTCCTCCTCCTCCTCCTCCTCCTCCTCCTCCTCCTCCTCCTCCTCATCCTCCTCCCCCTCCTGCTCCTTCTGCTCAACCTCCTGCTGATCCGCCACCTTCTCCTCCAATGCACACAGCTTAAATTCTCAGATTTCGCATCACACGCTACGGGTTCTGTAGGGGGGTCCAGGACCGTCATGACACCCCACCGCGGAAAGAGAATAAATCGGCGCCATGGGGAGGGATGGGTGGGAGGAGTATGATGCCAGATACGGCACGTGTGCAACTCCCGCTCCCAGCTCCCATCCCCGATTCCCACCCGTGCCCGCCCCCTCGCCTCCCCTGCAGCACACATCAAAATCACCTCCCTTCTCTCCTCCTCCTCCTCCTCCTGCTCCTGCTCCTGCGCCTGCTCCTCCTCCTCCTCCTCCTCCTCCTCCTGCCTCCCTCCTCCTCCTCCTCCTCTCCTCCTCCTCCTCCTCCTCCTCCCTCCTCCTCTTCCTCCTCCTCCTCCTCCCTCCCCTCTCCTCCTCCTCCTCCTCCTCCTCCTCCTCCTCCTCCTTCCTCCTCCTCCTCCTCCTCCTCCTCCCTCCTCCTCCTCCTCCTCCTCCTCCTCCTCCTCCTCCTCCTCCCTCCTCCTCCTCCTCCTCCTCCCAGCGGCGAGGGAGCCATCTGGCCAGCCCCGCCACGGCGCCCCGCGGCGTCTCCGGTGCGGCCTGCGGCGCGGCGTGGCCAGCGGCGGCGACAGCGGGAGAAACGGCACCGACGGCGACAGGGACCCTTCGCAGCGTCTTCTTCGCCTGCCGCTCGCTGGCCCACCTGGCCAACGACGTGTACTTAGGGGAACAAAGAGTGGCATAAACATAACAACTCGGAGGTCCGCGCGGATTTCTCGGATCGGCGCTGGGCCCCCCCCGGCGGCGCCTCCGTCGCCGCCCCTGGCGCGCTCCGCGCGCCAGGGAGGGGGCCCCAGCGCCGAGCCGAGAAATCCGCGCAGACCTCCGAGTTGTTATGTTTATGCCACTTGATGTTCCCCTAGTACTTGCGCGGCGGGGATGTATCCATATCCACCGCCTGGGAACCGACATCCTGGTGCCCCAGCGGGCGGTGGATATGGAAATATGTTGCCCCCCGGGGGCCCGAATATGTCCATATCCACCGACCGTGGGGTCCCGCAAAGATCGATCCCCCAGGCGGTGGTTGT